GAGTAAGGACATAGCTATCTTAATTATTTATTAATAAACTTATTCTGAGTCGCAAAGATCCTGACTGGCAATCTCCTCTTGGACTCGCCTTTAGAGAGAAATTCATCTTTACGGATTACATGAAGGAGTTTTTTTTGTTTTCGACTTGTTTTATTTCGTTAAGTAATAATTTAAAGCTTTCTATAAATATATTTATTATGTCTGTGAGGCATATACATTTTAATCATTTTGTTAAGCGCTCCTGTTCAAAAACCAGACGACAGTAAGCGCATAATTTTGGTTTTCTTTATTTTATAAAAACGCTGTAACGTTTTTTGATGTATTACTCGTACTTTGTGAGCAAAAATGACGGATAACTTTAAATTGCACCCACTGAAAAAATGCAAGTGATTGCTCTGGCGCCTCGATGTCCTGCAAGCTTTTTATAAGCAAACTATGCGCCTAATAGCACACATTCTTTAATGTTTAAGCTACCATTGTTTTATACTTGAACTGTTTTATATCTTTTATTTTAGGCAAGTCGTGATGATCTGAGAAGGCAAACTGATCAAACAGACAATGATGGTCTTCCGCTGGGCGCTGTTCGTTAAAAAAAACTTATTTTTAACGAATAAAAAATGCTCCAAACGTTTTTCTAAATAAGCTGAATAAAAAACGAAACTAAATATAAACACTTTATCGTTAGGCTACATACAAAACTGAACTATTTCATAGCTGAAACACTAAGTTGTTTAAGGAGAAGGGGGAAATATATTTTTGTCCCGTCTATTGCTTCACCGTTATTTCGAGAATAAACCCAGCGTAAATATGCAGATGTCATTCCCAAAACATATCAGCGTATATGTGCCGAAAACGAAAGTTTCATACAAATTCTGAATGGATTATAGCCTGGAAAGTGCAAAGCACGCTCCTCTTATTATCACTAAAAAGCGTCACTAATCTTAGTTCATAGAGATCTCACAAAGATCCGTTATAATTTATAAAGCTCTCTAAATTACACAATAAATCTTTTATTTACATGTCTACACTCAAAAGATGATTCACGAGCACACAAAATGGCACTTAATAAAAACCAATCCGGCGCTTTCAGCAGTGAGTGAATTCTGTGAATCTAGAGAAATGACAGATCAATATCCGTGAACCTGATTGTTTTTTCCCCCGCAGCCACAGTACGCCGGAAATCCGGCGTGGTGCCGGAACGCTATCACCCCTGTTTTATTGACAGTTTTATTGATTACTGAGATACGATTGACTTGGATTTAAGTTGCTTCGATATAAAAATAAAAATGGCAAAAATAGCTTTGATGTAGCTAAGCTACTTTTGCCATGTAGCTTTTAGCTTAGCTTGCTACATTTCCCAGGGGGTAGCTTTAGTGTAGTTAAGCTACATTTTAAGTAGAGTAGCTAATAGCTTAGCTCACTACATTTTTCAAGTAGCTTGCCCAACACTGCTGTAACACATTGAGCCACTAAACACTGTTCTTATGCTGTTTTTCTACAGGAGGAAAATGTGAATTACTTCCAAACACTTCAACTATAGTCTGTGTTAGTAAATGCAAGGCTATTGATGAAATTTAGGCAGAACACTGTAGGACAACATTTAACTGTTCTAGAGCCTACAGCTAATCAATCTGTCAGATTCAGGAGTGCATCACAGCTCTAAGAGGAAAGCGGAGAAGGCAGAGAAATCTGTGCGACCCTACTCATTCGAGATAAGGGATGTAACGATTATAGATTTTGGTTGTACGATTATAGTCTGAGAAATAATCACGATTATCATGCATTTATTAATTTCAAAACACTACTAGTTTAGAAAATCAGATGAAAACTCCTTACATTGTACAGTGTTACTTATTGCTGCTCAGTAACCACTTCATACAGCACATAATAACATTAAAAACAAACAAAAGTCAATTTCTCTCTGTGCTTTAAAGTAATTAAAAGAAAAATTAAACAAAAGTAATAATTTTACACTGAAAATAAATGACAGATAAATACATAAAACATAAATTAATAAAAAAAATAGCATTTGTCTAATGCAGGGCTTGAAATCAACTTTTTTACTTGGTAGCACCGGCACTCCCGAGTGTCAACAAGGAGCAGCACCAAAAAATGAATGAGCACCACTGCAAATTGAGTATTGAGGGATTTGTTGTTTTAAAAACAACATGAATCAGGAATAACAAAAAACAGAAACAGCTATTTAACTAATGCTGTGATGACTTATTGATGTTTGTGCAATAATTCCAAAATGAATGTCTAATAATTATAAAATATATTATTGATGATGATGATAATAGTAACAATGAATTGCATTTCTCATGATGCTGCCTTGAAAGTGTTATCTGCTATCAAAAGTACTGTTACATTATGACAAATAAATCTGCGGTTTGCATCAAACTAAAATGAAGCATTGCAGTAAGAAATATAGATTTAGCACTATTGTTTTTATATGCATGTCAATGTAATAAATAATATTTCTGCTACAAAACAAACGTAAGATTATAATCATTTAATTCAATGCTGAAAGCTGCAAAGCAGGCATCAGTAACTAAATAGAAACATCAATGAAAGAGCAGACGAAAGAAAGGAAGAAAAGTCTCACTTCTACTACTCTTTAAACATTTCGGTTGTGGAATAAAGCAGGCGAGTCAGCCGACCCGAAATATGAGCGGGACCCATGCACCTGCACAACACCGTTCTTTGTCATGAGCCGCAGTTTTAGTTTAAACTTAGTAAAGGTAAACTTCTTTAATGATGATGTGTACAGTGTTAAATTTTACATTTAGCGGCCATTTGCGCTGAACCCACAGTGAATGCAACGCATCGAGATTCAGACCATTAAACAGCTGATCCACCGAGTCTTTCAGCACTCTCTCTGAAAACACTCGATTGCTGGCGGATCAACATTCACCACGATCGCTCTCATCGGCGCCAAATATTTGTAACTTTACAATGTGTTTGGTTGCGAGACGTAGTTTGGACAAAGTTGTCGGCGATTCTTCCTTTAGTAAAGTCATGCAGTGTGAAATCCCCTTTCGCCGATCCGTCTTGCAGTGTAAATAAAGCAGCGACAAAACGCTAGCCCAGATAATCATGCAGAGTGAAAACATCTGTGACACGACTACTTTGACAATCATGTAGTCAAATCAAATCACTTTTAGTCACATCAGCAGCAGCACGTGTGCTATGATGAGTGAAAAGCTTAGTCTGTTTTTTTTTTTAAAGCTCTGTGCTTAAGATTATTTTTATTTAGCTTGTTTTAAGCAAACAATCACTTAATTTTTAGTTTTTTTTTTTTTAGAAAACAAGACAATTTCTATTGCTGTTTCACGTGTCTAGTACAAAGCTCTCAAACTGCCGGCTTGCAGGCCATTTGCTCATATATCACGAGCTTTGACTGCATTAACTCAGGGGAAGAATGTCTGAGTGCATCAGGTTTTACACTTATTTTGTTGTGTTTGAATGTTAAAGCGGCCGTCATATGAATTGTCAGTCACTGATATGCCCCTGCCAATTTGAGTTTGAGACCCCTGGTCTATTATGTATCTTGATTTTAGATATTTTTTTGAAAACAGGTCAAAACTACTAAGTAAGTTATTATTATCATTACATTACAGCTCAGGGATGTTCAAGGACAACATGTTTGTGCACTTTCTAAAGATTTTAGCTCTGTTTTTAAATAAAGGGTTGGAAATTAATGATTTAAAAAAAATCTGTTTCATTAAATAATCAAAAAATAATCCACAGATTAATCAATTATTAAAATAATCATTAGTTGCAGCCCTAAAAAGTACATTTAAGTGTGCAACAGAAGAGTACGCAAACTTTGGCACATACTCCTTCCTCATTAACTGAACGTTATGTTGTTTAGTCACGTCCACTGTAGCGTCCTGGTTAAAAGATGACTAAGTCTTCCACTGATGTTCACGATTCATTTATTGGTCACACTTCATAGAATTTGTTCGCATTATTCAATCATGAATCACCGTAAGAACTAGAGAGAAAATAAACAAACAACAAACACAAATAAATCCCGAAAATTAACACTAAGCCAACATCAACAATTAAACAGTAAACAAATAAACCAAATTACCTTATTTTTCCCTCTAAACAGGAGCTATAACTCATGAAGGAGGAATCCGTGAAGCAACCGTATACCTGTGCCCCTTTTACCGTGTTTCACCTAGCGTTCCGTATATTGTTTTCATTCATTTCTACACGCAATTTATACATCCGGTAAGCTCCGCAATTTTGACGTCATAATTAAAGTCCCCAAACAACGTAATTCATTCAACAAATCAACCCGTATAAAAAAAACAACGAAACATCAAAAATAAATAAATAAATAAATTCAAAATCATAAACAAAGTAACACATATTTCAAGTTTCTTTACATCCACTTTCAATCATCTCCACACACCATTCACATTTCTTTCATATTTAATTCCCTACATTATTGGAGATTCAGCTGTGTGTTAATCTGCTATTCTCAAGTCTTTCATGCAGAGAATCTCCTCAGGTCTTTGGATAATAATAATTCGTGTAACGGTAGTAATGGAGCAAGTCAATGCTGGAAAATAGTAAAATACAAAAAGAAAAGAAGAAAACAAACAGTCCAGCTTACAGAACTAAAATGCCCATCAGTGCTTCACACCCCAGTCCAGCAGGTGACAGTAGAGCATCTTTAATGCTGATTCACCACAAAACATCTACAGAAGAAGAGTCCAGTGGAGGAGCTCCAGACTTCTTTTGTTTACTTTATGATTAATGTTTTTGCAGTTCCCGGGTCTAAATGGGCGAGATTGAGCCACGAGTCCAGTAATAAACTCAAAGAATAAACCTTAGTAACTCAATATAGTTTAGCTTAATTTTTACGTATAGGACTCAGGGTTAAAATTCAGTCAGGATAGCGTGAAATTTGCATCTTAATCCTTTTATCTTGCTTTTGCACGATACCCTCTGAAAATATGAACTGATAAATAAGGAGAGAATCATACCTGTTTGTGTATGAAATATCAGCTGAAATAAAGTCCAGCGTTCCTGATCGCTTCTGTAGAGAAATTTACAGTTGAGCCCCAATATATACTGAATAAAGGCAAGCAGCTGAAGTGTCCGTCAGATAAACAGTCTGGCAGCAGAAGGTTCAATATAAAAGCTGGAGTGTGTTGTCGTGATTTCTTCAGCACTGAACCTCCACACGAGTTTTCCTTGCTCTGAGCTTTTACTCGGATAATGCCTCTGCTAACTGTGTGCTCAGCACTACTGCCATCTAGAGGACAATAACAGCAGCATCCACTAATCGCCACATCCCCTTTCATTAGAGAGAAAACATCATCTGCAGAGCACAAACAACCGATATACAACATAAAACTCTCTAATTGTGACTAAAAGACAAAGTCGCCTTCACACATTTAAATATAAGTGCCCACATAAAAATAGAAATAAATACTATATAGTGTATTACTGTAGTAAAGTACATGAATGAATCTGTTACTGATACAAGCAGCGCTTAATTTGAGCTGGATATTGTGTCTTTCCCAGCAGTACTTTGCTTTATTTATTCATTTATTTATTCATTTTTTTAAGAAACTGTACAACTTAGTACAACTAAGAATACAACTTAGAACACAGTAAAAGTTCTTTTAGATACACATAAAGAGCAAAACCAACATAAAATGCAGCTTTGCTTTGTTTACTTTACTTTTTTTTTTTATTCCTAGGTTCTGCTGGCTGCGATCTCCGAATTATCCTTGCCAATCTTAAGCCATCATAGGTTGTTTTGGTTTAATTTGGTATTTCCCCAGCCGTGCAGAGCCCGGGGGACCAGCAGACTAGCTCCAGCTTGGCCTCCGCTGGTCCCTTTGCTTTGTTTATGGGCGATTGTAAGTTCTCGCTGGTGACGCCATCATGTGGTTTGTATTTGAATGGCGGAAGGCGGGAACGCGTGTTCGAAATGGAATCAGTGTTCCAAACCGCAGAATGTTTATAAGAGGATGTCAAAGGTTCTGGTGTATTTCCGGCTATTTCCGTCAGACATATTAAGTGCTTTAACCGCTTATTTTTCCTATTATATGTTGGAAGCGAATCAATCAGTACTACATAATCGGGGGAAAAGTGTAAACAAACTACAAACATGGCGGACGCGCGAGGCCAACCGTCAAAAAGTAGAGGCTTCGGTAACATTGTTTGAATGACTATTAATTAACATCTAGCCGACTGGAAAATATTTAAATCACGTTTTCCGTGTTATATTTCATCTGCAACAACAATGTGAACTAATATAAAGGCGTGTTTGGACATTACCTTCTGTATGTATAGTTATCAAAATACCTGAGATTTCTCACCATGAAAGACTCGTGAATGGCAGATTAACTAATACAAATAATTTTTACAGTAAAGTTTTAATAATACAAAATATTCACCAGACAATGATCTCCTACACCAGTATTTATCATTGTTCAGATATAAACACTCTTTCCACAAAAGTAAATGTTTCGCTAAATGTGTTATCCCGGCAGTTTCTCTCAGTTTGAATTTTTTCATGGTGTTTTTAGTTTTTTCACTGACTGAATCTCTTCACACTATCGATGGAAAGTTCAAATCATTTTATAAACTCTGATCATTTAGTCTTGATCTCTGAGGTCTCAGTTTATCCTTCTACTTTCAAGTCCTTGGGTAGTTAATTGAATATTTTTGTCACAAGTCCAAAGGCATGCGCTACGGGTGAATTGGGTAAGCTAAAATTGTCCATAGTGTATGTGTGTGTAAATGAATGTATGGGTGTTCCCCAGTGATGGGTTGTAGCTGGAAGGGCATCCACTGCGTAAAACATATGCTGGAAAAGGCGATTTATTCCGCTGTGGCAACCTCTGATTAATAAAACTACGAAAAGAAAATTAATGAATGAATAACAGATGTCTAATAGATGTAGAAACATAGTCGTCTTGGCTAAAACAAGGCTACATTTGGGCTGTCAGTGAAATTCTAATAGACATCCAAAACTAGACTAGTCATCAAATAAACAGAAATGACTGACTACAAATACAAAGTCTGTCTAATCTGTCTTTTTGGAGACTAGTCTAGTTTTGAGCTATTCTTAGATCCCTACTAGATTTTCACCAACAGCCCAGGTTTAGCCTTGTTTTAGCCAAGCTGTCTACGTTTAGATGTCTATTAGACGTCTATTAAACCCAAAACTGTTTGCTGGATAATGATCGAAAACCCAAAAATTCAGTCCAAGTTGGCAACAGAGAAACACAGTAACACTGAAAATAAATGCTCAGAGATGGCTGCAAGGCAAAACAAACCTTTATACTGAATAGTCGAACCAGCGTGTATTTATATGGGACATGAAGTTGGGGCTAATCCAAAACTCAGGCGAGGAGGACCTCTGCTGGTGAGTGAGGGGAGTCTTTGGGACCGAACCGGTGACAGGTTTACCCAGGAGGGTTCCTCTGGATTATAGCCCTCTCAGTCTATTATGACCCGTTTCCAATGAGTGGTACAGTATGAGTCACCTTTATCAGGCTTGCGTTTCCACTGCCAGAAGGGTACCTATAGGCGTGGTGTATGAAAGAAAGTTTCAGTCGACGTCATTTTCACTCGAGGAAATGTCAAAGTAAGGCTGTACTGGTCGTTCACATATCATATGAGAAGCACTTCTCACAAAACAGATGCTTCATACACTTTAATACTTGTGTATAAATGATCATTACATTACATGAACTCTCTGGAGAAAGTGAAACCGTTCATGCTTTAGACGGGCTTATAAAACAACAGGACACAGCACATTTTGTTTTTCTTGGCTTTGTGGCTGTTCATCAAGACGACGACATAGTCTGTTTGAGCTTGCGTCGACCATGGCTTGTTATTATATGTATATATTATAACAGCGTAATGTCTCGGCTTTTAAAATGGCTGTTCCTTTGTTTACATTCTTCTGCTTGTGTATGCGCTGGTGACGTGTCTCTGTAAACCAATAGCTTTCAGCTGTGTGTCTAGCTCTGCTTTTTGGTACCCTTTTGTACCTTTCAAAAAGGTACCCAAAAAGTGGTACGGTTCGGTTTTTGGTACCCTTTAACAGTGGAAACAGCCATAAAAGTGTTCCAAACCATACCACTCAGTGTAACTACAACTACAATAAATCAATGGTAGATTTCTGCTGTGTTTTCAGCAGCATTTCATTTGGAAATTTCTTACATTTGCCACAAATGGTTCTGTGGACTGCCATTGTAGAATATTTTAATCGATCTATATTAATGAATTATCCTAAACTTAAAGAACAAAACATTCTCCAATATCTTTTAAATGTGTATTGACAGGGTTTAACACATTTGGGTGCTATGAATACTGAAAGAGTTGAGCTCTTTCAGACGAAAATATTGTTTTAACTATTGCCTACATACGATCCTGATATCAAGTTCACATTAAAGAATTGTTCCAGAACGACCCATCAATAATACAAGTTTGCATATCTGTTAAGGTTACTCTCTGACGTGACACTCTTGTGTGTATTTCAATGTTTCTGACTGACTGAATCTCACTTGTTTCTCTCCAGTATGAATCCTCTCATGTGTTTTCAGGCTTCTTAACTGACTGAATTTGTTGTCGCAGTGTGAACACTTGTACGGTCTCTCTCCAGTGTGAATCCTCTCATGTCTTTTCTGGCCTCCTAACCGATTGAATCTCATGTCGCAGTGTGAACACTTGTAAGGTTTCTCTCCAGTGTGAATCCTCTCATGCAATTTCATTTGTGATGACTGTCTGAATCTCTTGTCGCAGTGTGAACACTTGTATGGTTTCTCTCCACTGTGATTGCTCTCGTGTGTTTTCAGGCTCATTAAATGACAGAATCTTTCATTGCAGAGTGAACACTTGTACGGTTTCTCTCCAGTGTGAATCCTCTCGTGTGTTTTCTGGCTTCCTAATTGATTGAATCTTTTGTCACAGTGTGAACACTTGTAAGGTTTCTCTCCAGTGTGTATCCTCTCGTGTGTTTTCTGGCCTCCTAACTGACTGAATCTCTTGCCGCAATATAAACACATGTACGGTTTCTCTCCAGTGTGAATCAACTGGTGTTTTTTTAAGTCTGCAGCTGTAATAAAGGTCTTCTCACACTCAGAGCACACATACTCTCTCACACCGGTGTGGATCTTCTGATGTTTTCTTAAATTTACTTCATTTGCAAAACTCTTTCCACACACAGAGCATGAAGGCTTCTCAGTTGCATGAACTCTAAGGTGATCATTCAGGCCTGAAGCCAACAGAAATGATTTTCCGCATTGATCACATGAGTGTGTTTTCTCTCCAGAGTGGATCAACATGTGTCTATTAAGGTTTGATGAGTCTCTGAAACTCTTCCCACACTGAGAACATGTGAATGGTTTCTCTCCAGTGTGGATCCGCATGTGGCTCTTGAGATTCTTTTTGTTTGCCAGACTCTTTCCACACTGAGTGCAGGTGACCCATTTTTTGTCTTTTCTCTTCAGTGAGTGAGTTCTTCCTCTCATTTTGACATGGCGTGTCTCCTCAATCAGGCCTGAAATAAAAGTGAAGACAGCATTTTATAGAAGTGATGTAAAAAATGATAGACAACTATAAAATCACGATTGTTTCAGTCTTCAGCAATGTACACCGATCTTCCAGTCACCTTCTTTATATAAATATTGAATATTTGCCCAGACTATTTTCCTTCATTCATTCAATTTCAACAGCTGCTGTAACACATTGAGCCACTAAACACTGTTCTTATGATGTTTTTCTACAGGAGGAAAATGTGAATTACTTCCAAACACTTCAACTATAGTCTGTGTTAGTAAATGCAAGACTATTGATGAAATCCAGGCAGAACACTGTAGGACAACATTTCAGATGACTGTTCTAGAGCCCACAGCTAATCAATCTGTCAGATTCTGGAGTGCATCACAGCTCTAAGAGGAAAGCGGAGAAGGCAGAGAAATCTGTGTGACCCTACTCATCCAAGATTAAGGATGCAACGATTATAGATTTTGATTGTACGATTATAGTCTGAGGAATAATCACGGTTATCACGATTTTTATGCGTTCACTAATTTCAAAACACTACTAGTTTAGAAAATCGGATGAAAACTACTTATATTTACAATGTTTTTAATAGGGTATATGCCGAGCTAGTGCTGTTCCCATACTGATAAACTTCCGGTGACCTGTTATTGTAAATTTCTTTCCATTTTATATGGTTCCTTTTACAGCATCGATGTTGTAATGTCATTAAAATGCATTCAGTTAAAGAAACTTTGGCATTCGCTTAGTTGTTTAAGCGCAAAACGAGACAAAAGGCCGTTTACTCGCACGCGCCCGTCAGAATCGGCAGGCTAGCGCAGAAGCTCCATTGAATATACTGGGGTAAAATAAAAGCTCATATTATAAAGACATGACGGGGGGAAATGTAATTGAATGCAGTGCTTCTTGTACAATCTGAGACCCACTTTATATCAGATATCACTCAGCCAGTGGAGATCGCTGATTTTTAAAGAAAAGTGACCTTAAAGGGGTGGTCCACAATGTAATTTTAAGGCTTGGTTGTGTTTATAAGATGCAAAACAATGTGTGCTCATGTTTCACTTGAAGGGAATCGTATTATTTTTTCATATATCTCACTTTGATTGTACACAGATACTCAGCTAACATAAAAACGACTGACAGATTTCCTAGTTTCTCTGAAAGGCCCGCCCTTAAGTGACTGATTGGATGTGCAGCGATTGACGAATCGGCTCCACGTCACGCCCGTACAACACGCGCTTTTCAGCTGTTTAAACAATCAGTCAACCTCCTGCCTGCTCTCTAAAATAAAATCTGACAAGTGTCTGTAACGAGTGAAAATGGGGTGCGGCTCCTTTAAGAGCGTTTGCGTGTGCGTCTATGGGTGTGTGTGGTGTGAATGTTGTCTGCGTCTATGTGTGCGTGAATGTGTGAACTTTCTGTAACAAGCGCATGTGCGCGTGACTTTCTTTTTCTCTGATGCTCGGATTAAGCTATTTTCTGTAATATATCGTGACAGAAGAATAAAGCACAAGATGTGGGATGCTACCTGTTTGAGCCTGTTTTTTTTTTTTTTTGCTGCTAGCACTGTATTTTTTTCTCTGAAATCTCAATCGGTAGTGAAAATGTCAGGTTTTCAGAAAATGTTAAATGTAATAGAGCCCTGTTACATTATTCCTTCATAAGCCCATTTGAGCCAGATAATTCCTGCTTTCAGATCCACTAAAATGGCAGGTGACAGTCAAATCAAGTGGATCTGTGCTGTATGAGGAAAAGGTGGACACTCATCTTTCTGAAAATAAAAAATACTTAAAAATAGATTGAAACTGAGCTCCATATACAAACTAAATTGTTCTTTTCTTTTTATTTGTTTACCTACTACATAATTACATTTATTTTTTTATAGGAAGCTTTATGGTTTTGAGTATAAAGGAGGATTTGTTTTATTTGCTGCTAAGCAGAAACTAGGCTTGCCACGATAGACGGTGTTGACGGTGATATTGGTTTTAAGACGCAACACCGGTGACATCACTTTTCCACCGTGACACCATCCCCACATTTGTTTTTGTTTTTTTTTTTTTAAGTATTCATTTTTTATTATTATTATTAAATATTTATTTGAATTAAATGGGAAACATAATTCTAAATAATTTACTTAACACGAGAGCATGCTCTAAAATTATCATCTGAACATAGCTACAATGCGTCATATTTCATTTATCACAACAAGAGAACGAGAGGAGTCGAATTTACAGAAAGAGGATGGCGGACGATTAAGGGTCACAACGCAATGCAAAAGCGCCTGTTTGGCAATATTTTGGGTTCAAACCAAATGCAAAACGAGAACCTGAAGACGTTAATGAGGCAATCTACAAACTTTGCCTGACTAAGTTGGCAGCATCTAGAGGAAACACAACTAATTTATACTTAATGTTCAACTATGTGTGGGTCGCGGGTAGATAAGATCAATAACCATAAATACGCAACGCATACTCTCATTTTAAAAATCACGCGACCATCATCTCACAATGTTTAGTAATAAATTATCTTTGTTTTATTATTAAAACAAGAGTATTTAGCTGATTTTTTTAGTTTCCAGCAAACGAATAAATGAACAATAATAGCGAAGTGTGGTGAAAATACTGAATTATATCCAAATACACATGCTGTGCCCCATATGGTCTAAAACCTGACAGGTGGACAAATCTAAGCTTGTTTTTAACAAAACAAATATAAATATGGATATAATAAATAATGCTGCTAATAATAATAACATTATACAAAAGCAAATTGAATGAACTGAAGGCAGTGGTTTTTAAATTTATGTACTCTAGAAAATAATATGTTTTGTAATATTTTAATACTTTATATTTATATCATATATATATATATATATATATATATATATATATATATATATATATATATATATATATATATATATATATATATATATATCCTTAAAATTTTAATTATTTTTCATATGTAAAGATATTTGGGTATTGCTTTAAATCTTGTGTGTATTAAGCAGTGTGTAAGCAATCGCACGTTTGCGCCAGACTTTAGACCGAGTTTGTTCTGGTCTAAAGAACAGACTATTACAGTTTCTCAAAATAGCAACGCACCAAAACACCCTTGCTTTTTTAGACCAGAACGCCTATGGGCGCACATATGAGTGCAAATGCATTTGCCATTTAAACAGCGTGGCGCAAAATGTCAAAACGACTCTTGCGCCAAGCTGAAACTAGCAAACAACAATTGCGTCACGCCTTGCACCACATTGCGCCGGGTGTATGATAGGGCTATTGCTGTTTCATGTGTCTAGTACAGGGGTCTCAAACTGCCGGCTTGCGGGCCATTTGCTCATATCGTCACCTTAGATTTATAAGGTTCTATCTGACATTTTAGTCAAAATTGAGTTAACATATATTCTTATTAAATAACATCTTATTAACATTACGGGATGTTTTTTGATAAGTTGTTTAAATTTTTATTTAAAAACAAATGTTACACACATGCTGTCTGCTATGGAATGCAAAAACTTTGAAGCTCAGTATCTCAAACTTATTCAGAACGCAGACAGAACCATATAATTCTAAGGTGACGATATGTCAGGAGCTTGACTGCATAAACTCTGGAAAAGAATGTCTGAGTGCATCAGTGACATCAGGTTTTACACTTATTTTTTTTTGCTGTGCTTGAATGTTAAAGCGGCCCTCATATGAATTGTCAGTCACTGATGTGGCCCCGCCAATTTGAGTATGAGACCCCTGGTCTAGTATGTATCTTGATTTTTTTTTTTTTTTTTTGGTTTGAAAACCAAAAAATTTGGTTTGAAAACAGGCTAAAACTACTAAGTTAGTTATTATTATGATTTTAATAGCCCAAGGATGTTCAAGAACAACATGTTTGTGCACTTTTTAAAGATTTTAGTTCTGTTTTTGAATAAAGGGCTGGAAATTAATAATTTTCTTAAAAAAAAAATCTGTTTCATCAAATAATCCAAAAAAATAAATAAATAATCGACAGATCAGTCGATTATTAAAATAATCGTTAGTTGCAGCCCTAAAAATTACATTTAAGTGTGCAACAGAAGAGTACGCAAACTTTGGCACATACTCCTTCCTCATTAACTGAACCTTATGTTGTTCCCCTTTCAATCATCTCCACACATCATCCACATTTCTTTTATATTTAATTCCCTACATTATTGGAGATTCAGCTGTGTGTTAATCTGCTATTCTCAAGTCTTTCATGCAGAGAATCTCCTCAGGTCTTCGGATAATAATCATTCGTGTAGCGGCAGTAATAGAGCAAATGAATGCTGAAAAATAGAAAAATACTAAAAGAAAAGGAGAAAACGAACAGTCCAGCTTACAGAACTAAAATGCCCATCAGTGCTTCACACCCCAGTCCAGCAGGTGACAGTAGAGCACCTTTAATGCTGATTCACCACAAAACATCTACAGAAGAAGAGTCCAGTGGAGGAGCTCCAGACTTCTGTGTTTACCTTGAGAGGCACATAACGCAAGAGAGATGGACGCTTTCAAGATGGCTCCTTGATCGCACGCGTTTCGTTGAGCTCCGCAATCCTAACTACTTAAACTGACCTGTTTAACGTTTCGCAAAGTGTATATTAATAGTTAACTTGAACTGATATTATAGCGATCCGTTACAGACGACAATGGGAGGGTCAGAGAAAAGAAAAAGTGCAGGAAAAAAGGCTGGAAAGACCGAAAAGACAGCACATGCTAACTTGGCTAATCAAAATAGCAGTTCGCCGACGGCCGAAACGTTGGATAAAATCCCTTCTAACGCATTGATTACAGACAATTTACATGACTACCTTCAGCAGAATATTAACTCTGAGGAACTTATGCTGGCAGCGGAGGTCGAACTTCCATCTCTTCCAGAAACTCCTTGTGAATCACCAGCCCCTAAACAACGCAGATGTGTGGAAAAAGATACAACGATCATCCTTTCCCAGATTTCGGACCTTTCACGTCTCGTGCAAAATAG